ATTAGGCTTAATCCGCACAAACGCTGCTCAAAACGATCGCACGCTCAAATGTGATGCATTTCTCGTGGTAATACATAGGGCGCAGGAATACCTCTATCTTCAGTCGAAAACATTCAAGAACAAGGTCAAGGTAAGAAGTGAAGAAAATATAGAAACAAAACTTTCTAAACGAACCTTGAACGATGTCGATACAGGTTGTGGAAGCGCTTGTATCACAAGGGTAGGAAAATTAAGAGAACCATCTTCTATTTTTTCTTTTATCCAACAATTGAGCTTTTTGTAGGGTACACCTTCACGTAGCCTCTCAGACACAGCAAACATCAATACAAGAGGGCAAAATTTCTGGAAATAGTACAGAATTATCGCATGAATGTACATAAATGTTTGGTTAATATTTTATGAAATGCCCCAATTCAAGCGATGTACTCCCAAAACAAAAAAAAACGGATGATAAGTACCCGCAATCGAATTCGTGCTTCTTCGACGCCTGTCAGATGTCCAGTGATGGTTACCTGAATATTCACAACAGTTCTTTCCGTATGTCAAACGACCTATTTCACATCCCATTTGAGGAGCCATACAACCGCCTATATATAACATACTTTTCTGCGGCACTTACTAGATAACATAGTAATTTCCCTAACAACGATGAGCAAAATCCGAAAATTACCAGCTGTCTTGTAAGCGCTAAAACAAATTAGCTACGACGCCGCTGTGCATTCTTTTCCTTTTTGCCCACCTCGTTCGCTACATATAATGGAACGGTATTGATGGCTCAAATTATTGACACACAGATTATTAAAGCGCTTACAAGAACTGCCTGAGGCATAATGAATTGATCAGCACTCAGAACGACAAAGAATTTGTTTAGTACCTGGTGAATGAAATCGGGGTTAGGTTCATCGCGATCAGGAAATTGTATTATAGTGTTTGTATCTAGCATTATATTCGCACAACTCTCTTCAGTATTGCTGAGTGTCCTGAAACTTATTAGAAACAATGAAAACACGATAAACTCTGGATTCTAGTGAAAGACCTTTTAGTGAACATCTCTTCATAATCACTATAAGTCACCTCCATCGTAAGAGTCACCTGTTCAACATCGACGAGTTCCTAAAATGTTAATCCATTTTTTACAAAGTGATCTAAGAACGCTTCAGAACGCAGTTATGACCATTCAACTACAGTGCGTTTCAAAAGTATGTGCACACCCTCAAAATTCACGTTTGAAAGGGAACCATGAGGTTTCGTGCTATGAAATCCTTCTCAATCGATTTCTCGTAGTCGATAACCTATCAATGGAAGCAAAGCAGATAATATCGCCTCACTTTCGGAAAAATTTTTTGGATGAAATTTTTTTCTTTGTTTCAAAAGTATGTGCACACTTGAAGAAGATCAGATTTTGGCGCCGAATTTCCACCGATTTCAATCCGACTTTGCTGTTTTCATTTCGTCATCATGTCAATTCGCGCCATACTTCTTCCTGAAGATGAGCAAGCTCAGATCAAGGTTCTGCATGATAATGAACGTTCCAATCTAGAAATCGCACGATAACTTGGTCGTTCTCCTTAATGCATTCGTAGATTTATCTGGCACCCTGATAATTAAACTCAGCACACACTCCGCTCCATCCACGATTCTTGAGTGCTCAGAACCACAAAAAAGTAGCCCACATCCTG